TCTGTTAGTCTTTAAGGTGCCACCAGACTCCTTGTTGTTTTTGTAACAACTTTGTTTTCATTAAAATGTTCCACTGCAGAATGAAAACAAACTCTGAAAGTTGCTGTAAAATGGGCGTGTCCTCCAGTCAAAGGTCTGTTAGAAACATCCCTATGTCTGAAATCTGCAAGGCAGCTACTTAGAGTAATGCCTGACTTTTGTTAAACATTATGCTCTGGTCCTGGCCATGAGGTCAGATGCCAATTTTGGTAGGGCAGTATTATAATAATCAGTTAGTTAGTGAAAGTTGGGACTCCTCAGTCACATGTCCAGATGGAGCACTGCTCATTAGTCACCTTCAGTGAGAGCCATATGGACACATAAAGAATGAATAGTTACTTACCTTCTAGTAACTTTGGTTCTTGGAGGAGCTGGTGTGTGTGTGTGTGTGTGTGTGTGTGTGTGTGTGTGTGTGTGTGTGTGTGTGTGTGTGTGTGTGTGTGTGTGTGTGTGTGTGTGTGTGTGTGTGTGTGTGTGTGTGTGTGTGTCACAAGCTGCCCCTCCATCTTCGCTTTTTTGGAGTCCTCTTTACCTGAGATTTTAAATTAGCAAGGGGACTGAGCAATAGTTGCTACTGCTATGCCGTGTATGCTCTAGAAAGGCAGGGCACAAGGACATGTGCAGTGCAGGCATGGCCCAACAGCCACTACTATTCAGATTCCAATCTCGCGTAAGTGGGGGACATGTATACCTAGAATGGGATCCACACAGGTGACAAGATCTTGAAGAACAATCGTTGCTATAAGGTAAGTAATAGTTCTTTACAGCCATATGCTGTGCATGCTATAATTGTTTTTAAACCCTGATTCCTTTAATTGTTCACTATGGTAGTTACTATATTTTTTTCTTTAAAAAACATTGTGATGGTTTTTTTTAATTGCTTTTTTCCTAGATGAAGAAAACAGTTTACATGTCGTAGTGAACTGCGGGGAAGCACTATTAAAGAATAATACTTACTGGCCACTTGTTAGTGATTTTATTAATATCCTTTCACACCAAAGTGTGGCTAAGAAATTCCTGGAGGATCATAGTCTGTTAGTAACTTGGATGAATTTTGTATCATTCTTTCAAGGTAGGTGGCTTTAAGCTTTCTTATTCAGTGATTATAAATACCTTTTTTGGAATATGCCTAATTTCAAATCTTTTCTTTCCTGTATTTAAGCAAGAATTTGTAAAGGTGGCACAATGTTTTCAATAACATACACCTTACACACCTTTATACATAAATATTTAATCAATTAGTGTGTTCATTATTAATCTGATGCAAATTTCTGGAAGTGGATAGTTTATTCTAAATTACTCAAGCCAAAAGAATTCTGTTTCTGAAATGCCAACTGATGAGAAGCAAAGGCTGAACATGTAAAGGCATTAAGCACTTCTGAGGTGCAATTGTGACAACTGACAGCTTGACCAATACCAGGCGTTGAACCAGGGACGTCTGAGATCTAAAACACATTAGTTTCTATAGCTTGAACTAAAGAGGGCAGGGTCTCAAGATGAGAACTGTAATAGGTTTGTATCCTTTGTGGATTGGATAATGCGTAATACATGTTGACTGGTGGGTTACATACTACTTCTGGTCAGGGAAACTTGTCTCAAGTGTTTGAGACCCACCATGATTTGAATTCTGGACAAGCCCCAACTTGTATCATGGCAGCTGAGGATCTCCAGAGCTCAAAGCATGAGTCTCTCTATGGCTTGAGTTAAAATGTTAGGCTTTGGAGATAAAGCTCTAACAGACCAATGTAGCCCATGTTGATCAGGCACAGAGGGGTTGAGTAAAATGCACTGGGTTACACACTGCCAAAGTTCTCAAGAAGTTGTACTAACAGTGTAAGTTATTACTTTGATAGAAATATGTTTCAGTGTCAAAGTTCTAAACTCAATACTAGGGAAAATGAACATGATGTATTTAGGTATTCTTTGTATTAACATGTGGAAACGTGTGGGGGATTTTTTATTGATTTGTTTTTCCCTGAACTTTTGCATAGTGGAAAGCATGCTTCCTCTATGGAAAGATCCAAAATTTTGTAGTCAATTTAAAGATTCTCATTGATTGATATGGAGTTGAGACTAAAAGGGGCCCAATTCAGATCACGTGTCTGCTCAGCATGAGTGCTTGAGTTGCTAGCCTAACATGGCAAGACTTTCTCTACTCAAATGATCTCTTTCTAGTCAACTTTCAAGGTCTCTGCTCAGTTCAAATCCTTAATCTTGTGGATACTTAGGTACAATTGATCACACGTTCTGAAACTTATTGCATGGATATCATCTTCCTGTATAGGTGTGCATATGTGTAAATGTGTATAGTTTAAAAAAATACTAAATTCCACTTAATGGTAGATAAAGATACTGTTGTATAACACTGCTTACGTCTTTTAAGGTATGAATTTAAATAAGCGAGAATTAAATGAGCATGTGGAGTTTGAATCACAGACCTACTATGCTGCATTTGCTGCCGAACTGGAAGCCTGTGCCCAGCCAATGTGGGGACTGCTATCACATTGCAAAGTTAGGGTAAGGCAAACATTTTTTTCATTTTTACCGTGTCTTTTTAAAAAATAAATAACTGCTTTTAACTTCCTTTTTGTAGTCTCAGCAAATTTTACAAATAGTTGGATTTTAGGGTCATTTATCAGTTCTCCATCCAGTGTTACTTTCTGGATGGTGTATGAAATTGAAGTTGAGTAAAAAATACATCAGGCAGTATTTTGTAATCAAGTTTTATTTGAACAGAACTCACAAATCCTTTAGAAGACGTTTATACCCATGTTCTCTGCATTAGATTTGGCCAGTCATTTGACTGGAGAAAAGAGTGATGAGTTCAAATCTTCACTTGGAAGATCTTCGAAATAAACCAGAGAGGAGTTTTTGAGTGAAAGCATTCTTGGCTGAAGGGTTTTCTTTCTCCAAATTGCTCAGCTGGAGCACCAAATATTTTTCATAGACTAAATCATGACTTTCATCAATACCTGCAGGCTGAAATGTTCCCATGGGTTTGTCTTGATGATTCAGGACAAGCTTTCCCAGAATCTTCATTGTGTGAAGCCTCTGAGTGTGTTGAGATTTATTTTTCTATTTAGGTGAATTAAGGCTTTTCATTTGTACTTCAAATAAGGGGGCTTAAAAAAAGCAAACCAGTCCCCTTTGTTGGCTTATCAAGACATTAGATGAGGGCAGTAATGATTGGAGTTCTGTAATATGTGCACCAATTGCTGCTTTCTTCTAGTAGGCGATACAACAGGGGTCGGCAACGTTCGGCACG